TATTTTTTTCCCAGAGTGTTGCTGATTTCCAAATGACCATCAACCTGTCTACTCAGACATATTTTTCAAACCACATTTCAGTGTATTTATTATACTTGCTGAAAAGACTGCTTTCATCGTTTGTGTTTGAGAAAATATTCCACGTTGTTTTCTTTGCATATCAGATGACACAACACCAATCTAACCATCACACGCTCCCATTTATCTCGAAATTGCTCCCAGGCCTCTCCGGGGCTCATTCCTGACGCCATTTTACGTCTTTGCATATAAAGTTCAAGCTCCAAACCCTGCTGAAAAACAAAAACATCCACAAAAGAATAGACAGTTTAAACAGGTGCAATGGTTACATAATTGCAACTGCTGCAATTACTGTCTTATGCTCGACTAACAGCCATAAATCATTCTTTCTTCAACAAAGGGGAATGTTGTGGCTCTCCACTCCCCTCCAGTAATCAGAAATTGCTCCGTGTGACGAGAGGGCACTGAAACAGGTCTTTCTTCTGGTATCCGTATGATATTCTGCTCTATTCACGGCAACATCACAGGGATCCTTCAGCAAGCATGATATTGTACCTGCTCAACACCTGTTAGCTTTAGCCAGGGGTTTCATCAGAAAGTTGAAATAAATACAAGTCATATTATCATAACCATAATTATAGTCATAAAAACTGCGGCCCTTTATGCTGTTGCCAAATTGCCCTGCCATGTGATTTACGATCGGGCTGAGGTTTGCGAGGGGAAGCAGATAGTACAGAGAGAAATAAATAATCAAGAACACACACCTGCAGACCACCCGTCTCTCATTAGCACACACCTGGTAACTCTAACCAAAATGTAACAGGGTGGGAATGGTGCTGTGGGAAGAACAGTGAGGAATTCTCCTGGGATCACAAAGATGAACATTGTCCGCCCCCCTCCAAGAAAATCACACAGCAGCTGAGTATAATGATAAGAGTCCAGAAGACAAATTAACCCTCGTATTAAAATAATCCCTTCTGTCTAATAACAATAATATTCTGTAGGCCGAGACGGCGCCTTCGCACTAACTTTCGTACGGCAACTTGTTGAAAACAGATTTGAGTGTTTGCGAAATAAGGCCATGATGACTACTTGACCTGTCAGCAGCTCCAAAATACACATAGGTTGGAATAATGGGAGCCAATAAGTGCCATAAGGGAGCCCTTCTGTAATGACTCCAAATCCTGAGCAGCTGTGTGATCCTGCAGGAGCTCCACTGATGCAGCCTGGAAATGTGGATGACATTCAGACAGCTGAAACCAAAGCGAGAGGGCTGGGAAACTCCAGATTTGAAAAGATAAATATTTTTTACAGTTAGAAGGGAATTCGTCCATAAAGTTCAAGATGCAAATGTTGAGCTGTATGTCATATCTTCTAGAGCTACAGACTTCTTTTCCAACCACAATAATGGTTTTCGTAAGTTTTGACAACTTCAAAATAAAAGCTTTTATTAAAAAGTGCCTATTAATTTGTCAAGCGACATAACTTCATTAAAGGAAGGAAGCAGTCATCAAAAAGAGGAGATTTGGCAGAAGGACTCATTTAAAGGGGACCTTTACACTTTATCTTGTTATTCGGTTAGCCCAGTCCTGCATCAATTATGTTCAGTGCTAGCCAAGGTTGATTGAAGGTAACAGGGATCACCAAGTTTGCTTTATATGCAGATGATACTTTGTTTATAATGAATGATCATCTACATTCTACATCCGCTTATCCTCAGATGATTGTAGACACCTATAGATTCAAAATAAACAGTCCATCACAGTTGGTTAAAAATAAGAAATTGGGATTATTATGGTTTCATTTGTTTTTATATATCTACTCATGTTTTATGAAAAACTGTAACAGCTGGGAGGTTTTTCTCCTTACTGTTAATAGCTCCAAATAAAAAATGTTTTTTTTTTTTTCTAATGATAGTATTTCTGGCATTTAATCAGCCAAAGAAACAAATTGAAGTATTATAAATACAATCTGACAAATATGAATAATATAAAAACTATATATCTAACAATATAATACAAAAATATTCACATTAAGAATACACTAGAATATTACAAGATTGTCGTCTAAAAACATAACTGACTTCTAACATATGAAAATCATGTTTACTTGTTAATTGGGTTTTATTTTATATTTTTTAAAGCCCATGCTGCAAGTTTTTCTTTGATGGGATTGTGATTATATTATTTCTCTGTTTTAGAAACATGGAAGACTGGTAGAAGAGGAGAGAGGAAAAGAAACAGGGAGGCTGGTGAAAGTGTAAAGCAGACAGGTGGAAAAGAGGAGAACATTGTTGAGAAAAAAGCTGTCAGGACAAACTGCATAAACAAAGATCCCCTTTTTATGCTCCATTATTATTACTTTTTTGTTATATTTTGGAAATACTATACAGTTAAAAAACACATATCTGCTGTTACGCTCACTGATCTATATGAGTAAATGTGTAAATATAAATGATACTTTAACTTCTCAATTTTTTCCACAACACTTAATTCTTGTTTTACGGTATATCTGAGTTGGACCTGTCCCCTGATTTAATCAAAGAAATCTGGTCAGGCTAGAAATCTAAAATCTATTTCTTCATGTGGAAGAAGCTTAGAAACGTCTGGTCAGGTTGGTATGCAGTTTGAGGAGGTATGGAAACAATGTTATGCTCCTTCTGTAATCCAACAAAATGGGTCATAATTTTTGAACTGAAGGAACATTAAAACTATCCACTGTATGTCCATTAGTATAAATCAACCATTTAGGATAGAAATACAGCTTACAGAGTACAAGGTCTTTGTTTGCAGCCTGCTACAAACTTCATATTTTGATCTGTCTCTGGTCAAATCTGGGGCTGCGTGATTGACTTTAAAGATACGTTTTTGGACAGAAGCTCTAAAATCAACCTTATTCCATCTAGCTACTTAACACAATGTTGGCTACTGAATATCCCTTATGTGCATGTATGCCACTATATATTTTTTATTACCTGAATGTAACATAAGACAATTTTCTGTACAAATCTAGTCGTTATCTTAATAATAACAATAATAATTTAAGAGCTGTTTAGCAAATATCAACAATATAATCATGAAGACTTTAAAAAAGTTCATCAAATTAAACTGATATGTTGATAGAAAAATATTCATATATTAAATCCAATGCTAAGTTGGATTCTAGTTAAATGCAATTAAATTTCTATGAGGCTGTTTTTCAACTTCCAGTTTCAAAATATAGTTTCTACCACAATCCCACTGAAATTCCTCATCTAGATCTAAAAAACAACAAAAAAGCAAAACTGCTTCATTTGGCTACTATTCTTGCTCAGCATCATGTTTTGGATGTTACCTATTTGCCCTTCCCTTTGTCAGTGTGATCTGATCAGCCAGTATTTAACCACTTTTTAGTGTGATAGGTCATTTTACCTGGTTTAAACCATAAGTTGTGTCATTTAATCATGCTTTTCACTTGAATTACGTTTTTTCCTCTGACCTTGTAGTAGTAGCTTAAATATAAGACTTTATGAAGACCACTTAAATGGAAAAGTCATGAAAGCTGTACAAAATGAAATGTGTATAATTTGTCTAAAATAACATTCTGATAATTAGTGGATTTTAAGAATATGGGCTGGATTTATCAAGATCCAATTTTGCGTGCGGTAATTTGCGCTCGCAAACTGGAATTTTGCGCGAGGGGCTGAACCATGGTTTGCGGGTGATTTCACAAGAGCGATTGCGTAACTGGTGGCAGGTGCATAACAGTTGGAGACGCCCTATTTAAATGATGGTTTTGCGCATTTTGTGGTTTGCGGCAAAGTAGCTTGTAGTCTGTACAAACTAGTGCATTAAGAAATTTAAATCTTACAGTGATATATAAAGAAAAAACTTTGGCAACCTTTATTCCCTAAGGTGGTATGTGGCTGAATTTCTACTTCACTGCAGTAAAAAAAAAAACAGGTGTTTTGTATTGGCCTGTAGAAACATGCACATACCAAATGGCTCACAAGAAGTGACTGTGGATGAGATTACGCATCCCTGCAGCATTGGCATGTTGCTCCACAGGCGCAGGGGGAGAACCCCGACCCCGTCGGACAGCACTTCTGAAAAACGAGATTGGGAGATCCCAGCTCTCGCTGCAACCGTACGCTGGAATGACCCAGATGCAAAAAAGTGCAATGTTGCAAGGAGTTTTGTGATATCTGGTATTGCGTGGGTCCTCCTTGTGGCTGGCTCCAAATCCATTCTGAGTTCCCCCAACAGCTCCAAAATGGCAATGCTGGATAAACGATATGTTTTAAAGATCGTTTCCTCCTTCATTGCAAAAATATTCACACGGAGTGAAAAAATGCATTCTCTGCGTCTCCTTGCTTCATTTCGATGTCTCCTTCTTGCGACAATAACCGCTGCCATGTGTGCGCAATTACGCATACAGACCATTTGCACCTTCTTTTGAAACGTGTTAAATATAGAGTCAGATACCGTTAGCAAAATTTTTTTTAGGTTTGATAAATCACTTTGCGAGCGCTAAATTAATATATTTACATGTTCTCCTCCCACAAGACGCACTTTAGCGTGTAAACGCCCCATATTGAATATTCATTGCAGAAAAAGTACTAAATGGATAAGAGGCGCTATTTAGCACGTTCTAAAAACCAAATCCTTTTAGCACGCTGTTGATAGATCAGTTTGTACATTTTTTAGCGTGCGCAGTGAAATAGCTCACGTTTTTATACACGCAAACCTTTGATAGATCCGGCCCTATTTTTTGAAATCAGAAAGAATTCAAGTTGCAAGCTACAGTTCCTCATGCTTAACCATCTTGGTCCCTCAACTCTGAGTCATGAATACTTTTGTAGGGAATGCAGTAGACTGTTTCTCGACATGAGGATGGCTGAGACGTGCTTGGAGATCCCAACATCCCCTTTACAATAACAAAGCAGATAAAAGAACCCAGTAATGCCTTCCAACTCAAAGTATAGAAACAAAAAACAGAATCAGTTTGATGTTTCAGTTGGGTTGATTTGTGGTTAAAAAAAACTACAAAAAACATTTCTAAAGGTGTTCAAATCAAACATTCAAATGTCAAAACAATGTTTCAGTACAAAATTGGTTCATAATCTGTGCAAAAACAAAAGGTTACACACTGCAAGAGTTATGCTGAATCTGAACCTAATTCAGCCTCTTTGGTTTAAAGTTACATTAATGAAGTATTTTCATTCATTGATGTCAAGCTTTTTGTGTAATAAAGATCTTTTTCTTCAGCTGTTGTGGATTTGAGGGGTTTGCATCCTCAGTCGCCTCCTGGCCAAGGCCTCCTGCCTCTTCCTCTCAATCTCAGCTGCAGAGCATTTTCCTGTGGTCTGGTTGGTGACAAAAACTGCAACAAAACAGACAGACAGAAAAATTAATCCATGAGAAAAAGACCAAACCATTCCAAGGGGAAATGCCATGCAACACTTTGACAATCATCCATCTCTAATCCTTTTTCCATGTGTCAACAACTCCATTTATAGTTCTCTATTAAGGTTTTCTGAGGCAGTGAACAATAACATTGAGCATAATTATAAAATGAAAGGAAAACTATGGCTTTTATTCGGATTACTTTAGCTTTTCATCCCTAAACCAAACCAGGGTAACTAATTTCCTTAAAAAAATAGGCAACTTACTACTTAAATTCAGCTACTCTGTGAAAACTTAAGAGGTTTGTTAGACGGTAACAAATTGTCTGCTTAAACCAAAACGCAACTGCCTGGTATTGAATTCAAAACCAGATGGGTGACAAAGAAAAATCCAATGCATTCTACCCTAAATGCACCATCCAGTGGGGGCAAAGCATGGCAGAGGCATCATCATGCTGTGGGTTTACATTTTCTTCAGCCGGAACATAAAGTTAATCACTGAAAAATATCCTTCCATGCGTTAAGATTCACATCCTAGAAGGAAGACGTCCATGAACATGAAGCCAGAGCTTAAAACAAAATGGTTTACATCAAATTACATCCAGGTGTGAGAACGGTGCAATCAAAGTTATTTCCTGATAGAATTTGTGACAAGATTTCAAAATTTGATATGCTTTTCATTTAATCTAACTGAACTATTTATTAAAAAAAAAGAAAAGCATGATTTAAATCTCCTGATCATCTATCCATCCTGGTGAACATTAACACCTCATGCCACACCTTTCAGATTTTGACACGTCCAACTGACAAATTATGAACCTTTGATCATTTTCCTTCTACCGTCCAATTTGTATTGGCCTACTACATAAAACAAAATTGTAACACCTGTAGATTATCGGCTGAGGTAAGTTAGATGTGTGAACCCAGAACAATCAAACATGATAAGAGTCACATCTACGTTCTTTTTTCAGCCCTACTATAAGCTGACATCTTACCCTTGTTGCTGATGATGGCTGAGTCCGACACATTTCTTTTGAATGCTGCATGATGGGACCTTGAATTCTGAGGTACTCTGGTTGTCACTGTATGAGGTTTCATATCCGCATCAGCCTGAATCGCACCATGGTTTAACTTTCCCAAACCGACATTCCCACCTGGGAAGCTTTGAGCAACTCCCGCTTTCTGGGCGCCACCTCTCAAAGGAATGTTCCATCCTTGATAGTTCCCCATTTCATGGGTTGTCACTGGTAACGAGTTGCAACGGACAAAAGAACCCGATGATTGTCTATTTGCATTCATACCGGAAGCCCCCGGGGGTTCAGCGTTGACTTGAAGATCTGTGATGTTCTGGTGTCTGGCTGTGGGCCGTTTTGGCTTCTCTTCACAGTTTCTGTGACTCACTTCCTGCAGCTGGTTGTTGGAAACCCTCTCCACCCTGTCACATAGCTGGTAGAGAAGGGCATCGTCATCGCCATCGTCCCAGAAACTGTCTGAAGCATCATTGCCTGGTGGGCCTGACAGGAAAAACTTTACTTTCTCAGTAACTTTGTTTGGTTGTGGATTTGTGATTGTCTTCCTGGTAGCAGAGGTCTGCGCAGGGCTCTTTGATTTGGGCTGTATAACAGTGAAGCTGGACTCCTCTGCATCTTTATCCAGTCTGGTCTGGAAGTGAGGGTTGGGTTCCAGTTTGAAGCTCCTTCGACTTGTAGTAGTTTTGAAAACAGAGGCTAGTGTTTTAGTGTTTGTTTGAATGGGACACTTTACCGAAGTCTCAGGATGAGCGTCAATAGGACCGTTGGGATCCTGCGTCAGCGCCAAGATCAAGGGGTCATTGATTAGGTCGTCATTGTCCCAGTCATCCTCAAAGTAGACTGAATTATTTTCGGGAAGCTTATCTGCTGTCTTATGTTCTAACTGTTTGTGATCAGCATAAACAGGAGTCTTTGGTTGGTCCTTTCTGTCCTGAGTGGAGACTGAACCCTGACTCAACCTCCCACTGATTCCCTGAGTGGACGAGTCAAACAGAGCATTCAGCTCTGCCTCTGCCTGCTCCAACGAGGACGGACACTTTGGATCCTGTATGTTGATTTCTGAGGCGTTCAAAGGTTGGCTGATGACAGCATTCTGTTGGACTGAAGTCTTCTCGTCTTGCTGCATGTTTTTATCAAGCTCCTTGGCAAGCTTCATGAGGTCCTTCACGCAGCTCTGTCTGTTCAGGTAAAAACCACCATGGAGAAAAAAAGAGGTTTAGGTCCTGTAGGTTAAATACTATTTAGAATATTTAGGAAGAAATGGATAAAGGAAGAGAGTGTTGCTAGGTTACGGACCGACAGGACCTCCTTCTGGCTGTGGGCTTCGGATTATAAGGAGTACAAGGGATCACGCCATCGTCTATCCAGTGTAGCAATGATGATTCAGATGATTTGGGCTTTTTATTCTATAAAAAACAAAAACAAACTTTCCAGAAATCACTTTTAAAGGGAACTGTTTCAGCTGAAGTTACTTAGGATGACGATGAATACAATTTGAAAAAATAAAAGAACTGACCTTTGGAGCGATGCGGTTCACGATGTCAGAGATTTCCACTGCCATGTTGGTTTTGTTTCCTAAACCCAAAACAATGAGAGGAGAGTAGAAATAATGCTGACTCATACTTCGCTTCCCACACTTAATTCCACCCATCATGAGGAAAGAAAATACATTTGTTTCTGTCAACAAATGTTAAGCCCTTAACACCCAACATTATATAGCTGTGCACAAATATATTTCATACCAAAAATGACAGTGGCCAGTAAAATAATAAGGATATCATCATTTGAAAGCTAGGACCTTCTAGTTTCTGGAAATATGTGTACAGACTCTTTAGGTTTTACACAACCAGAGCTGTGTGACTTTAAACATTTCCCCCTCGGATAAAAAAAATGCTATTTCTATTATATCTTTTGTATAACTCATAGTTTACCTCTCCCACTTATTACGCTTGTTTGGACAACAACTGTGTAAAATTTCAGATCTCTAGTCATAAGCATTGGTAAAGTATGACCCTTTATGTTTGTAAAAAGTCCATTCGGCACAATTGTCCCAAATTTGGACCAAATGTTTCAGACTGTTTTATTTGAATTTTATGACTAAATAGACCATTAAAAAAATAATTTCTATGTTTAGATTTAAACTAATTTTCATTCAAGCATTTTGTTTCCCACAATAGTTCCAATTCTGAAGCATAAAAGTCCACTCCGTGTTCCAACCTCTAGGTTCTCCTCTAAATTGCTCTTTATGCAGGTAAATAAACCCTGTATTTTAAGCCCGCCCCTGCACTTCTGTAGCGTCGTGGGACCATCCTGATCTCGCGAGCTTTCAAGATTTCACTCGCAGATCAGTCTGGAGACTCTCCGTTGAAGAAAATTTGGAGCCGTTCACCAAACGAACGTCCAATCAGCGTTGGCTTTGAGGCGGGTTGAGGCGTGACGCAATGAGAAGCGCGACAGTTCAGTCTAAAGAACATGGCGGCATCAGCCGATGAAACTAGCGTTAGCGTGGCTATCCAACAAGTTTTATCGGAATTACACAGTATTTCTTCACTGAAAGCAGAGCAAAACACTGCTCTGGAGGCTTTTCTCAGAGGAAAAGATGTTTTTACTCTTCTCCCGACTGGTTTCGGCAAGAGTTTGAGTGCTCCCTAGCTCTGTTAGTACATCATATGCTTCGTTGATCAGATTGGTTTATTTGGCCCGTCTATCACCAACATAGGCCAATCAGCTAACCAGTATTTTCGCCCCTTCCCAAAATTACTTCAACGGAAGGTTTCCAGATGGATATGCGGAGCAAATCCCTCTGGCGGAGTCAGGTTAGCACTTCTGATTCATCATCACAAAGCTTAGCTTATTGGCCAACAAAATATATCAATTAAGGGTCGATTGGTCATTTTAGTGTCCCTACTAGCTGAATAAAACTACATTTCCACAGAGAAAGGTTGATTTGGATAATTTTTTTTTCAATAAATGAATAAAACTCTTATTTTAAACAGTGCTTTCGGTCATGTTTGACTTGAATTTTAACTTATATATATATATATATATATATATACATATATTTATTTATATTAGGGGTGGAACGGTTCACAAAATCCATGGTTCAGTTCAGTTCACGGTTTCGTGGTCACGGTTTTCGGTTCGGTTCGGTATATGTTGATTGTTACACCGAAATCCCATAAAAATTTATGAAATTATTGAAAAAATCTAAAAGTAATTATTTTTAATGATCCGCAGAAACCCTGGATCATTTCCGCATGTTTTGCTGCTTTGGATTTAATCATCTCGCGCATGCCCTCTACGATCTCCAAGGAACTCAGAGCGGAGCGGACGGGAGCCACAGTGGAGGCTGTAGGCTTTGCTTTGTGTAGACGGTCTGGAGCGGAGCGGGCGGAGCCAAGCACTGACGGAGTATGTGGGATTTCGGGGTTAGCATGACATGCTGGTCATGTGGATGTTAGCATAAACAAAACGTGTTGCACAATGCTTGCACACTGTTGCACTTTTATCCACAACTTTCTTTCCGCCGTCATCGTAGGTCACTCTAAATGTAAAGCGGTCCCACACAGCAGACCTATAAAGTGCTGCTGGCGCGTCTTCCAACTCCTGTTCTTTCCCACTCGCCATACCCACACAATTCTCCACAACAACTGATTTTTTTCTGCTACAACCGGCTACGCTGCTTCGCTTCTTCTTCTTCTTGTTTACTACTGGTGGTTGGCTTTGGTCGCAGTACCGCCACCTTCTGCTCTGGAGTGTAAACGCTTCGCCTATGAGAAAAAGGAGCAGCGCATGAACCGAACGAAACACATGCAAACCGAACCGAGACAGTCGAACCGAACGGTTCGAACGGTTTTCAAAAACCGTTCCATCCCTAATATATATATATATATATATATATATATATATATATATATATATATATATATATAAAAAAAAGTCAAAAGATAACTTTCACAAGGGGCGAATCCTTTTTTTGTGACAATGGATTTTATATGAATCAATAGGGGCTTCAGCAGGAATGGGATTGCGGATCTTGTTAATCTAGAAGTACAGACCCAATGGTTAGGACATTAAGTGGTTATTAAGAAGAAGTACAATTTAAATTATATAGTCTAGATTTAAAAACATTAATTTAAACCTAACTTCATACAGTGCAAAGTGTGATTGGTTTTTCATCAACAGGACTAGGGGTACACCGATCAATAGCGCTGAAAGAATTATTCGGATTAATTGTGATTATTGAAATAACTGTTAGCTAATTTAGCAATCAAGTAATCATTAACTGATTGTAATGGAGTGTAGACTCTAGAACGTGCCTTTAGCTGACAGAGCGACCCACTTAGAGCAGTAATTATATAAAAATTATCACAAATTTGTTTTTTTTAACATTTTGCTTTTAAGATACATATTTTTTTGCCCGTCTATATGTTACACCCAGAAATCCTGAAGTGGAAAGTCATAGCTTCACCTGGTTAAATTTCACAAAAAGTCTTCTTTTAGGAGCCTTTTACTATCTGATCATCGATCATCATCGAATATTGAAAAAATAGATTAATCGATTCATCAGAGCATGTGAACGGAGCAGAGCGCCACGCAATTCCCGCTCAGGAGGATCTTCGCTCATTCACTCAAAGTTGTGCCAGGACGCTCCACTCAAAATCCGCTCTGCGCTCACCTTAATTTTCCTGTCGCTCCAGCGAAATCGTTCCACGCGCCCTCAAATTTTCGGGAAAACGCATTTTCTGACATTTTTACTTTTTTTTTTTACTTAATTATGCCAAGGCCCTGGGACACACGGCGTTTTGATTTAACAATGTGACCGATACACATGTATTGTCTTATTTAACTGGCTTTTAAATTATTTCCCAGCTGTGAACCTAACACCTCGCTCCATGTTGCCCCACGTTTCCTATTTAATTATTAATCTACTTTACTAGACAAAAATTAAAAAAGGTCACTTTTTCTTCCCATTGCAAATGATATAATAGCGCATCATGCATGTATGCAATCCATTTTCAGAAACAGGCTCTTACCACAACGATCACTTTATGTAAACCCACTCTGTATTGTTAAGTATAGTTAATGTTTTTATATTTTATCCCACTTTTTAATCACACAATTTGCCTAGGTTTTAAGTCAAACATAATATTTTTCATATTTGTTTTTCACAGTGTCCTGTCTGGAATTAAGAATAATTGTCTTAACGCCAAAAAAAAGAGCCCAAAAGATTTTAATTGTTTTTAAGATCAATGTGAAACTGATAAATTTACATTTTAAAGATCTCTATCTTTGTAAAGGTCTGGAATCTTCTGCTGTGAGTGCTCTAAACGTATTGCATGAATATAAAACATAAATTTGAGCATTTATATGTGAGAGCACTAACTAATGGGCAGTTAAGAAAGCTTTTAATGTTTCATGGGTATTTTTCAATGTGTTTCTGAAAGACAAGGTTGAAATTTTGAAGATCTCTTCTCATCAGCTGATGGTGTCAGTTACGAAAAAAAAGTCCAAATTGGAATATTTAAGAATAATTTTTTAAGTTTTAGATATCAGAAAGTTTTAGATATCAGTAATCAGTTATCAGCCAGAAACCTGCAGCAGGTAGACCCCTAGTAGGATTGTTTACAGTAGAAATTACTGGCAAATACAGTGCATCCCCACTCAGTGGTGGTTCTTGACCAAATGATCCAGGGGGCCAGGGTGGGGCCAGTGTTTTTCATGGGGGCACAGAAAAGCATGGAATAAAAAACAGGGCAGGGGATTCAAATATAGCAAGAGAGCTGAATGAAGTGAAATTTCTATTCAATTAGGTTTAATTAGAATTATATTCAAAATATAGAATTTAGGAATTTTACATATTTTTGACTTCATTTAAGTTAAAATGGCTGAAATAGAAATCAAGAGAAAGCGATAAATTCAGCTGTAAAAATTAGAGCATATTTTTTTTTACTGTTTTGAAAACGACATTTAGCAGATGAAAACTGAGATCCTATCCCAATATCACTGAAGCCATCACCTTATTGTTTTTAAATAATCAGTAAAACATAATTTGTAAAGAAAAACAATTAAATAGATCCCAACACAATTCCAGCGCATATAATGATTAGAATTTCTTTGAGTATTATGTCTTCAGTGCAGGGGCCATGACAGGGGCCAGGACATGGTCTACAGGGGAACTGGCCCCTGTCTAGAACCGCTCATGTCCCTACTGTTTTACATTCTTCTTCTTTTAGGAGCTGCACAGCTGAAAGCTTGCAGAGATAAGGTGACAGTAACAGCATTGGTTTCTCACCGGCCTGAGCTGGAGACCCGCTATCCCAGAAAATGTCCTGTGAAGACTCTCCATCTCCTGGAGACTCTGCAGCATTGAGTCCTCTGCTGCTGCCTCTGAACCGAGGACTCAGAAGATCTGTGCAAACACGAGAGATGGGTTACACGGTCACTTCACACTGCTG